TGATGAATTATTTAGGATCCATATCTTCGTTATATTTAAAATGTCATAGTATAGAAAGGGTCACCTTGGGGTCCTTATTTTAACTTAATGGAAAATGATAGATGCTATCAACTGATTTAGGAGCGTGAATATTTGTTTTGAAAGTTGCTGATTGTGAGTGGGTGAGCATTTTTGTTGGAGCGAATTTGGTAAGATGTTTTTTTAAGATGAGCTAGTGAAAGATTTTGTTAGGGTGAGTTAATGAGAGGTTTTGTTAGGGTGAGTTAATGAGAGGTTTTGTTAGGGTGAGTTGGTGAGAGGTTTTGTTAGGGTGAGTTGGTGAGAGGTTTTGTTACAGTGAGTTGGTGAGAGGTTTTGTTAGGGTGAGTTGGTGAGAGGTTTTGTTAGGGTGAGTTGGTGAGAGGTTTTGTTAGGGTGAGTTGGTGAGAGGTTTTGTTAGGGTGAGTTGGTGAGAGGTTTTGTTAGGGTGAGTTGGTGAGAGGTTTTGTTAGGGTGAGTTAATGAGAGGTTTTGTTAGGGTGAGTTAATGAGAGGTTTTTTTAGGGTGATTTAATCAGAGGTTTTGTTAGGGTGAGTTGGTGAGAGGTTTTGTAACAGTGAGTTGGTGAGAGGTTTTGTTACAGTGAGTTGGTGAGAGGTTTTGTTAGGGTGAGTTGGTGAGAGGTTTTGTTAGGGTGAGTTGGTGAGAGGTTTTGTTAGGATGAGTTGGTGAGAGGTTTTGTTAAGGTGAGTTGGTGAGAGGTTTTGTTACAGTGAGTTGGTGAGAGGTTTTGTTAGGGTGAGTTGGTGAGAGGTTTTGTTAGGGTGAGTTGGTGAGAGGTTTTGTTAGGGTGAGTTGGTGAGAGGTTTTGTTAGGGTGAGTTGGTGAGAGGTTTTGTTAGGGTGAGTTAATGAGAGGTTTTGTTAGGGTGAGTTAATGAGAGGTTTTTTTAGTGAGTTGGTGAGAGGTTTTGTTAGGGTGAGTTGGTGAGAGGTTTTGTTAGGGTGAGTTGGTGAGAGGTTTTGTTAGGGTGAGTTAATGAGAGGTTTTGTTAGGGTGAGTTAATGAGAGGTTTTTTTAGGGTGATTTAATCAGAGGTTTTGTTAGGGTGAGTTGGTGAGAGGTTTTGTAACAGTGAGTTGGTGAGAGGTTTTGTTACAGTGAGTTGGTGAGAGGTTTTGTTAGGGTGAGTTGGTGAGAGGTTTTGTTAGGGTGAGTTGGTGAGAGGTTTTGTTAGGATGAGTTGGTGAGAGGTTTTGTTACAGTGAGTTGGTGAGAGGTTTTGTTACAGTGAGTTGGTGAGAGGTTTTGTTACAGTGAGTTTGTGAGAGGTTTTGTTACAGTGAGTAGGTGAGAGGTTTTGTTACAGTGAGTTGGTGAGAGGTTTTGTTACAGTGAGTTGGTGAGAGGTTTTGTTACAGTGAGTTGGTGAGAGGTTTTGTTACAGTGAGTTGGTGAGAGGTTTTGTTACAGTGAGTTGGTGAGAGGTTTTGTTACAGTGAGTTGGTGAGAGGTTTTGTTACAGTGAGTTGGTGAGAGGTTTTGTTACAGTGAGTTGGTGAGAGGTTTTGTTACAGTGAGTTGGTGAGAGGTTTTGTTACAGTGAGTTGGTGAGAGGTTTTGTTACAGTGAGTTGGTGAGAGGTTTTGTTACAGTGAGTTGGTGAGAGGTTTTGTTACAGTGAGTTGGTGAGAGGTTTTGTTA